TCCTAACGAATTTGAGAGTAAAGTTGAGGATACATCTTATGCTCAGGGCATATCAAGCGGAGTTGCTTCATCGACTGCGTCGTCAAAGCATGACATAGGAAGTTATTTTTTATTTGTTAACACCCTCTTGCCACCGTTCTATGAGTAAAAAATTGTCGTATTTATGCTTGATATTTTGCGTGTAGGCGAAAAAATCAAGACCATTTTGTATCAAAGTGACAATTTTTCCGGTAACTCACGCCTTGTGCTCGAGTCTTGCGTGAAGTGTTACTGAGTCCTGAATAAGCTCGAGACTCGTTGCGACCCTTGTGGTGTTCATGGCCAGGTGATGCCTCAAAACGAAGTCAAAACTTTTCTCAAAGAAGGGGTTCCTAAGTTGGCCTCATCGGAAACTGTAGAGGGATTACCTTGGAGCTGTGATTGTAGATTTGTGCGAATAGGTACTTGATGAGATTTCATCTGTCATGTGACGAACCTCGTTAGAGCAGGGCACCAAGTTATACGATAATTCCCAAAACACAAAGACAAGAAAAGTGGCTGGCTTCAAACCTATCTACTTTTTATAGTCTAATTGGGTCCACTTAATTAAGCATCCCATGTTTTGGTTAAATGTTTACTTAATGTTTATTATTTCTTGTCTTCACGTCTTGGTAGGTTGTCGTAACGCCTGGTGTCCTGCTCTGACGAAGTCCGCAACAAGACGGACGACAGTTCAGCAAGGATTCATCGGGATCGTGGGGCGGTGAGCCGAGGACCTATTCGTACAAATCTACAATCGCCTCTTTAACTCAAATCAAAGATGCTCCAACGTCATTCTATTAAGGGATTCTTTTAAACCCAGTTTTTCCACATACCATCGCCGTATCAATTGCCAACACTTCCAGCTGCGCTCAAAAATAGCATCATTCAGTACACAAGCGTAGCACATGAAATGTGCACACTGCCAACTATGCCCTTGTCACATCAAAGAGTGAACTGGCCACTTCACAGTTGCTATGTGTTTTCAATTTGTCCGCGTAATGCTTCCATACACTTGAACACATGAGCATTGGAAAGAGCCGAGTTGAGTGGGCAGGCGGATAAGCAACGAGGAAGTCGGGGTAAATTAGACGTCTCGACTGGAGGAAAACAGCCTGAGACCAGATGGAGGACTTGACTTGATGACGAGTGGTTTGTGGCCCAATTTTTCCTTCACTTAGTCTCATCTCCCGGCGCTTAGAAGGGGAGTGCTCATCGGCACACGATCTCGGCTCAGGAAAGAATTAGACCCAGCGACGCATCAATTGGGCGAAACCCGAAGGCATTCGAGCCATCCCGTCCCCTACATGACACGGGGCTGGGATAAGTAGCGACAAGTCTCGCTGCCTGCACGAGTTCCTATTCTGCTTCCCCTCCCTCGCTCCCCCCATCCCTCTATCCATCTATCTATCTATTTATTCATCCCTCTATACGATTATATATCCATATATTCATCTGTCTATATACTCATCTATCAATCTATACATCTATCCATCCAAGCATCTATCTATTTATACATTCATCAGACAATCCATATTTCTATCTATCCATTTATCCGTCCACCCGTCTAACTATCTTGCTAGCTATCTATCCACTCCTCCCTCTCTCAGTGATTCTCCTTTCTAGTTCGACTCCCTTCACAGGTGCTCGCCGTCCCCTTATTCCCCTCGTTCCCACTCCCGTTCTTAAAAGAGTGTTTTGCCGACCTGATAACATCATTACCTTCTGGGATTCCCCCTATCCGGCTCTGGCCTAATGATCAGCAAGCATCTGCTCCATTCGGACTCATCTCGTCTGTGTGGTTGCCGTCAATGCGTCAGAGGCCTGTATGCAGGCCTGGAGCATTCATGCGCTTGAGACTGCCCGGGTCGGTCCGTGTGAACATGCGTGTGTCGGTGGGCGATGACAGTACAAGTGTGCCTGCTTGAGAAGGTGCATGTGAGTTGGTTCGACTGTGAGGCACGCATGGTCGAAAAGGAGCCCCTGTTTTGAGCGCCGTGATACGCATTAGGCGATCACAACTCGTCAGTTCCTGTATCGGAACCTTCATCACCATCAGGTTTCCCCTACCCTTTTGGCTCTAGTTCCCTGGTTCCCCTCCTCCTCCTCATGCTCCTCCTCCTTCTCCTCCTCCTCCTCCTCCTCAGTCCCATCATCATCAGTTCGGCCGCTTGACAAGTTAAATTTGCGGTAAGCTGGGAGGCGAGCAGAACATGTTCTCGATGATTAATGCTTCTGAACAGCCACCAGAGGGGAGCTGTATGGCTTTCAGAGACGGGCCTTCCAAGGGACGCCAGTGCTCCTCCGGTGGGTAGAAATACTTGAGCTTGGCTCAACAGAACGGCGGTTGTGATTTGCATTTTGGAGTTATGGTACTGGAAGGTGAGTCAACCTGACTACGTCGGCCTACCGGGGTACTGGTGAAGCGAACAGGTTGGCGTAGAAAAAGATACTTTCAGTGCTCGGGAAGCTGGCCTAACTCAGCCGGAATGAGGCTGTCTTCTGCGGAGCATTGTAAAAGGAGGATTTTGAAAAATGAAGATGCATGTTTGAAGAGATTGACTTGTTCTTCTCGGAGCACTCATCGAAGGGACGAGCAGACTCAGACCGCTGAGGTCGAGAAATGAGATCTTTCAGACTGTGAAAAAGTAGTTTATGCTGGAAATGTCGCCTAAAAGTCAGGATGTGACTGAAGGCAGTCTGTACGAGACGATATCAAGTGTCATGATCAGACACAGCATATGAAAGAGAGGCACAAATAAAGGCATTTATAAGCAGGTTTTCGAAATTGTATGCTGCACTACCCGAGTTCGAGTCCGGCCAAGGGCGCGGATGGGACCAATTCAGGCAAGGTCGAAACTGCAGTTAACTCCAGCCCGGATGGGAATACCTTTCGAGAAGCAAAATGAAATTCAAAGGAAACATGGGATTTACACATATGATTGTGGGGAAATTTAACGGTATCTTATAACGAAATTGAGTTAACACTGTGTTTTTTATAAATAATCACGACCTCAAAGCTCAGCTGAGAAGCAAGAGTCGATACAATTCGGCTTGACAGTGAAAGGCAAGTTGAGCAACAGGAACCAACCGAATGAACGACGATTGCACGAGTCCGCGGCAATACTTTCGTTGCTCGAATGGCCGAAGGAGTATAAGAGTCGGAAAAATTGTCCATCCCATAAGGGAGTGGAGAGATTGGTGGACCGTGATGATCAGTTTCAGAATGAATC